TCCTTTGCAAGGACTGGTCCCACCTTCTTTTGCAGCGTTGGGGCGACCCAGAGGCCATGCTCATGGGCTGCGCAGTTCTATGGTGGTAGTGGCGAAGAGCAGTATAACGTGATGGCTACTACTGCGGTGGACGGCTGCAACTGCTAGTGGCATTTGAAAGCGGGTTTGCATCCATGGTTGACAATGAAACTCAGGTACAATTACAGGTCAGCGTTCAGGTCTGCTCTAAGCCCTCATTTGGGAGGCTCTTGCAGGCTGGATGCACAAAAAAAGGGGGTTTAGGGTTTAGGTTAGGGCTTTAGGGGTTTAGGGTTTAGGGTTTAGGCTTTGGTTTAGGGGTTCAGGGTTCAGGGGTTTCTGATAGCAGCCACCGTCACCACCACAAAGGCTTCAGAGTTCAGGCCTTTGGGAGCTTCAGGAGTTTGCAGAGCTTTCAAGCAACCTTCCCAGCAACCAGACCCCTCATCTAATGAGGGCAGGTAGATCCCTAAACCCTAAAGCCCTAAACCCTAAAACTCTAAAGCCCTAAACCCTAAAACCCTAAAGCCCTAAACCCTAAAACCATAGATCAGGCACTTCCAGTCCTAAAAACTGCAATCATTCCACGCGGACTGATCTGCCGAGAGATTTTGCCGCAGGTGCTGGAAATCGACGACGGACCCGTACCTCGGCCGCGGAGATCCGATTTCAATTTCGGCATGCTTCCCAGAGACTCCAATATCCCTTCATTAAGGAATATAGACCTTAAATTATAGTAGGATCCCTAAAATATGTTTTAAGGTATATTCCTTACTTAGGGGATATTGGAGTCTCTGGGAACTGTAGCTGACCGGGGACGTTTGGCAGAGACGTTGGCTGGCAGTTGTCCCCGACTGCCGCCAAGCAGTTCAGCATGGTGGAGATTTTTCGAGCAGCAGGACGGGAGAGCGAAAGAGTCGCAATTTGAGGGTGAGGAGCGTGGCACTTGGGCCTGGGGATTTGACGTGCCTGGCAGGGCGGCAGTGCAGCAACGACAGCTGAGGAGCAAGCTACCGACACAATCCTGGACCTGCAGAAGAGTCAGTGAAAAGAAGGGTCCCTCCGGTGTCTATAGACTATAGAAATCTATAGAAGATACATTGCGAGCTGCGACATAGGTAGTGTTCGAGGCGACTTTGCTGTT